ATCCACGCGAACTAAGAAGCTCAAGCAATAGCAAACACACATATAACACACTATATTAACACAAGCATTCGCGCGCACGGAGACGGACGGTTAGACGGAAAGACGGAGAGATATACACGCACGTGCACACACAGACACACATACACACAAAGACAGACATAGGCACACAGGCACACGCACGCACGCGCACACACACAAAAGACGAGAGCGCGCATTTGACTGCAAAGCCCCACATGAGCAAGCACCCTCCGGCCGCGCAGCCTTCAGCAAGCAGGCAAGCAGCGGGAAGGTTCCGCCCCTGACCGGAACGGGCGCCGAGTTCCCCTGCGCATCCCTCCCCTTCCGGCGATCGCACTTGGCTTCGGGATCACGTCGACGACGCCCAAGTTCGGCAGCGGCGGGGGTGGGAGCGTCGCGCCGACCGAGCGCCCGCCCGCCCGCCGACCCCTTGCGAGAGGCGGCGGCATGACCCGACCGCAAATAAACCCGGGCGCCACGGCCGGCATGACAATGACGGTCGTTGTCCCAGCCTTCTTCCTCGTCCCACTCTTCCTTCCTTCCTTCCTTCCTACGCTAACAAGCCTCTTCCTTCCTCCTCATTTTCTCTTCTTTTATCCTACTTTCCCTTTCTCTCCTTTCTTATACATATTTTCTCATCCCATTTTCTCACCTCTTCTTCCCCTCCCCCATTGTTCTTCCTCCTTCCTTCTTTACCCTCGATAACTGGGATCTTCGCCACCAAATTACTGCTTCGAGCTGTGAATACACAACACCTGACACTCTCCCTTCCCCCTTTTCACCTTCTCCCACCTTCCTCCCCAACTTTCATATTCTTTCTCCTTCATTTTCTCTCTTCTTCCTTCCCCCTTTGCCCTTTCTACCACCTTCCCCCCCTCTTCCCACTTCTCCTCCCTTTACCCCTTCCCTCTCGCCCCAAAGTCTTATCCCCCTTTCCTATCCCTCCTCCCCTTCACCTCCGATTGCGTGCATGGCCGTCAGCAGGTCTCAAGAACGACGAGCCGCATGATCCCTGGCCGTCATGCACTCTCATGAGGCGCGGCCGTTAAACCCCGCCGTCCCACACGCGCGAGGCACGCACGTTCCCCTCGACGTAAAGAGAACTCGCCGCCACCTTTCTTTCTTCGCTCCCTCCCTCAATCCCTCGCATCCTGAACACCACCACTCCCTCAATTCACTCCGTAACACACCCACTCACTCCCTTATTCGCCTCCTGACACCCTCACTCCCTCATTCACTCCCTAACACACTCACTCCCTCATTCACCTCCTAACACCCTCACTCCCTAACACACACTCCCTCATTCATTCCCTAGCACACTCAAACCCTCATTCACTCCCTAACACACACACTCCCT